GACAAACAGAGAGAGGGAAACAGACACACGCACACAGGACAGAGACACACACAGAGACAGAGACAAACAGAAACCCAGAGAGGGAGGCAGACACGCATGCAAGGATAGAGACAAACAGAGAGAGAGGCAGACACGCACACAGGGACAGAGACAGAGACAAACACAAACACAGAGAGGGAGGCAGAGACACACACAGGGACAGAGACAAACACAAGAGGGAGGCAGACATGCACACGGGGACAGAGACAGAGACAAACCCAAACACAGAGAGGGAGGCAGACATGCATGCAGGGATAGAGACAAACAGAGAGGGAGGCAGACACACAGAAAAAGACAAAGCAGACAGAGAGAGAGAGAGAGAGACAAACAGACTGAGAGGTAGAGAGAGGAAGTGACATGGGGCAGGGGGTTTGCAGAGAGAGAGAGAGAGACAAGAGACAGAGTTAGGGAGAACAAGAACGAGAGAGAGAGAGAGACAGAGATACAAAGACAGATGATGAATAACAGCCAATGCAAAAGAGGGGTGGACAGGGAGAGGTAGAAACAGAGACCAATACAGATGGACAGAGATGGAGACAAACAGAGAGACATAGAGACAAACAGAGAGAGAGAGACACACACCCAGACAAAGACATATAGAGAGAGAGATGGACACAGAGTGAGCAGGAGACACACACACGCACAGACATGGTGATCGAGAGAACGAAAGACGGAGTGAAACAGAGACCGGGAGAATCAGACAGACAGAGGGACAGAAAGACACAGAGATGTTTCCTAGGCTCCCTTCAGGTTGTCTGCATTTTGTTTACCCCAAATATTACACATGATGTATCTTTCAAATCCTTCATTTTAGTTTTTGCCCTGACAGGATATAAAAGAAATGGTAAGCATAGATCAGGGAGCAGAGCTCTCACCTTTGTCGTTAATTGATGGGATATGGGCCATTCCTAGATACAGGTAAGGTTTTCCCCTGGTTTGGGGAGTCCAGAACTGGTGTTGGGCACAATTTTAAAAATAAGGGCGATGTCGCTTATGCCTAAGACCAGTAGAAATATTTTTACCCATAGGGTTGTGAACCGTTGCAATTCTGTACCACAGAGGTCTGAGTCTGTTTAAGGTAGAGATTGATGGATTTCTGATTCCCAGTGGTATGCAGGGTTAAGGGGGCAGGGTCAGTGAAACTAATTGAACTGTTTGATAGCCATGATCACATTAAATGCTTGATAGGCTGAGTGACCTACAACTGTTCCTGTTCCTAATCACTCTTGTGAGTGGTTAAGAGTCAACCACATTGCTGTGGGTCTGGAGTCACGTGTAGGCCAGACCAGGTAAGGAGGATAGATTTCCTTCCCTGAAGGACATTAGTGACCCAGATGGGTTTTTACACGAGCCACTGAGAAAGGTGAACAGCCAAAGGTTGTGGTTCAGGTTGGTACCAATGCCTTGGGCATGAAGGGGATGTGATCTGGTCAGGAAGGAGAGATCACATACAGAGGGAGGCACAGCCCCAAGTGAATATATAATTCGGGGAATTTGGAGACAGCGTGGGAAGGGAAGAGATATTTTTCGCTTGCTTTTTGGTCATAGTTTGTAAGGATTTTTCAACAGGAGAAATTAAATGGGGCTCAGGACAGAACAAAAAGTGACATCAGAGGGAAAACATATGTTCATTGGTTGGTAATAGCTGCTAATTTGAATATCTATCAAAGGGGACTTTCAGATTGAAGGTACAGAGGAGAAATATTTACAGATTATAAACTAAAAGACCAGTGGGAACTTTTAAAAAGCAAATTAAGAACAAAATAACTGAAATAAGAGTTGCCAGGCCAGGTGATGTATTGTACCTGCATGATGTGGAGCTGGGGGACCCCATTGTGGTTTATAGTGACCACATCTGTAACAAGTGTTGGTTGTTAGAGGAACTCCAGCTCAGAGTTGATGAGCTGGAGTCTGAGCTACGAACACTGCAATATATCAAGGAGGGGTAGTGTTATCTGGATGCTGTGTTTCAGGAGACAGTCACACCTGTTAGATTAACTACCTCAAATCAGGTCAGTAGTCAAAGACAGGAGTGTGAGACTACCAGTGAGGAAGATAGAGAGATCCAGGAGGTAATGCTGAAGAAGCCTCAGCCCTGGAGCTTGTCTAGAGTTGGAAGGCATAGAGTCTGTGTGGGTATGGTTGAGGAACCACAAAGGAAAAAAGACGCTGATGGGAATCATGTACAGGTCCCTGAGCACTAATCAGGATGTTGGGAAGAAAATAAATCAGAGATAGAAAAGGCATGGAAAAAAGACACTATTACAATAATTAAGGGGAACTTTAATGTGCAAGTGGACTAGAAAATCAGGTTGGTCGCTGATCCCAAGGAAAGGAATTGATGGAATGTCTATGAGATGGTTTTTTTTTTGAAGCAGTCTGTGGTGGAACCCACTAGGGAGCATGAAATTCTGGATTTGATTAAGGACCATAAGGTGAAGGAACCCCTGGGGCAGTGACCACAATATGATTAAATTCACCCTGCAGTTTGAGAGGGAGAAGCTGGAATCAGATGTAACAGTATTACAGTTGAGTAAATATAACTACAAAGTCATGAGGGAGGAGCTGGCCAGAGTTGACTGGAAGGGGACCCTAGCAGGGATGATGGTGGAGCAGCAATGGCAGGAGTTTCTGGGGGTAATTTGAGAAGCACAGCAGAAATTCATCCCAAGGAAGAAGAAATGTACTAAAGGGAGGATGAGACAACCATGGCTGACAAGGGAAGTAAGGGACAGCACAAAAGCAAAACAAAAAACATACAATGTGATGAGAAGCCAGAGGATTGGGAAGCCTTTAAAAACCAAGAAGAGGATAGACAAAAAAGTAATAAGTGAGGAGAAGATGACATATGAGAGTAAGGTAATATAAAAGAAGATTACAAAAGATATATAAAAGGTAAGAGAGAGGTGAGTGGACACTGGACAGCTAGAGAACTAAAATTGGCAGAGGAACTGAATAGGTACTTTGCTTCACTGTGGCAGATACCAGCAACATACCAGAACATCAGGAGAATCAGGGACAGAGCTATACATAGCGGCCCTCACTAAGGAGATGTTGGGGAAGCTGATGGTTCACCTACACCAGATGGACCACACCCTAGGGTTCTGAAGGAGATAGCTGAGGAAATTGTGGAGGCATTGGTGGTGATCTTTCAGGAATCACTGGAGTTGTGGAGGGTCCCAGATGACTGGAAAATGGCTAATGTAACACCCCTGTTTAAGAAGGGAGGGAGGCAGAAGTTGGGAATTTATAGACCAGTTATTTTTAGACTCCATTACTAAGGATGAGATTGCGGAGTACTTGGAAGTGCATGGTGAAATAGAGTGAGTCAGCACAGCTTAATCAAATCTGTTAGAATTCTTTGAGGAGGTAATGAACAAATTCAACAAAGGACAGCCAGTGGATGTAATATATTTGGATTTCCAGAAGGCTTTTGACAAGGTGCCACACAAAAAGCTGCTAAATAAGACAAAAGCCAGTGGTGTTAGGGGCAAGGTACTGGATAGAGGATTGGCTGACTGGCAGAAGGCAGAGAAGTGTGCTTAAAGGAGTCTTTTTCAGAATTGCAGCCAGTGATGAGAGTGGAGTTCTGCAGGGATCAGTGTTGGGACCACAACTATTCACATTATACATTAATGATCTCATCAAAGGAACTGAGTGCATTGTTGCTAAGTTTACAGATAATACCTGTTCTTCCTATTAAACTTAATCGACTTAACATTGACCTTCTCTTCAATCACTCCAGATGCTGACCTAAGCTCTGGTTCCCATCCCCTACCTCACTAGTTCAAACCCTCCCGAGAGACACTGGCAAACCTCCCTGCCAGGACACCAATGTGTCCTGTTTAGGTGCAACCCATTCTTCTTGTTCAGATCCCACCTGCCCTGGAAGAGATCCCAATGATCCACATATCTAAAGTCCTCCCTCCCTCTGACACCAGCTCTTTAGTCATGCATTCAACTGTATTACCTCCCTAGCCCTGGCCTCACTAGCATGTGGCACAGGGAGTAATTCCCCAAGATTACAACTGTAGAGGTCCTGCTTTTCAACTTAGTACCTAACTCTCTAAATTCGCTTTGCAGAACTTCATCACTCTTTCCACCTATTTCATTTGGATTAATATGGACCATGACCTCTGGCTGCTCACTCTCCCCTTTCAGAATGTTCTATGCCTGGTCATTGATGGAGAGACTGTAGTGTTGAGGATGTGGGGAGGCTGCAGGAAGACTTGGACAGGTTAGGAGAGTGGGCAAAGAAGTGGCAATGGAGTACAATGTGGGAAAGTGTGAGGTTTAGCTCTTTGGAAGGAAGAATAGAGGCATAGACTATTTTCTAAGTGAGGAAAGGCTTCAGAAATCTGAAGTACAAAGGAACTTTGGAGTCCTGGGTCAGGATTCGCTTAAGGTTAACATGCAGGTTCAGTTGATGATTAGGAAGAAAAATGCAATGTGAACATTCATTTCGAGAGGGCTAGAACACAAGAGCAGAGATGTACT